AAGACACCAGTGTCCGGCTTGGGCTATATACATTCAACCAAGACCCAGCCTGACTCCATACCAAGATTAGACGGGCTGACTACAGGGTGTCTAATTATGAGCGGTGCGCCTTCGCTCCTTCCCTCCACTGGAGGGGGCCAATTCCATACACAATTCCAATTCAAACCCCTTATGGGCCTACCGCACAATCGGTATCCAATACCCCTAGTGGGTCCACCGTCTAAAACAGTTGTCGTCTTACCTCCTCGTTCCTGAACCTGAGTTCACACTCATCGACGGGGACACCCCAGCACTTACTACGTAGAGGCCGATGATCTCCTGGACAACAGACCAGTGGCGCCGAGACGAAGGGAGGTCCACGCAGAAGTTCAGGGGTGCAGCCGTAGAGAACGTGGGCAAAGATAGACCGTCTCACGCCTCTGCTTCCTAGCCACCGTTAACGACGAGCTTCCCGGCCAATGCACCAAAGATGTTACCGGGAAACTGACGGAGGCCAAGCACAGAGAGATGGACACAGGTTTCTTCAGGAAGGAAGAGATCTTTATTCGATTCACCGACCGGGACTCAGAGGGACTTATGTCACCAAAAACAGCAAAGATCTGAGCACTGAATACATAGAGTAGATTCCTTATATAGCACTGTAGCTCCTCCCACAATTAGCTACGCCCACACATACCCTTAACCTAATCAATGAATAGAGTCTAAACTCATCTATCCGGTCTAACCACGTGGCTCATCTGAAACAAAGGAGAGGGACGCGTAATTCCAGTTCCTGCATTCCTGCACATGCTCAGTACAGTGATGACAGTATCTTAGCTACGTGTAACTAACTAACTGATACTACAAACACATGTACCTACATATGCCTTGTGGCAATCTTGGCCTGCTAAACTTTTATTTTACTGGAATTCCATCACACTCTCAATGTAGAGGAAAAGAGTTTCAACCACATCCAGAGTATGTCAAGTCTTAACTTCTGGAGATAGCTGCCAGCAAGCACACCCTTTGAGCTAATACTACCATAGAAGCTAGTTCTAGTGGTTAGAATGGTGAACTAGTTAGAGCTTGTATGACCAAGGATAGGTGCCATGCCAGTATAAACACCTTCAGTGGGGGCTGGAGCTTAATCAGTGCTTTCATAAAGTGTACTAACAAAGGTTCCAATGCCCAACTGACTCCTCCTAATGCTTAAAGCGATATGAAACTCCAAGGTATTATAGCTAAGGCCTTTTTCTAGACCTGATTGAAGAAAACTCAGAAAAGAAGACCAGGCTGGAGTAAATAATTTAAACATTCTGTTCACAAAAGCATGCCAAACCTTATAGTAAGTCGACTAAGTTGTCTATCTATGGCATCTCCATGCAGGACATGATTGTTAAAGCATACTGTGCTGCCCTAATGGCATTAACACCTTTCTTTAGCTGGTCGGCATAGTATGCCCTAATGGCATTATGGGGTTAATGTGCTGCAAATGCAGCTTCAAAACAGAAAATGAACTGCTGTTGACATATTAACCCAGACCTGAACAATACAAGTCCCGCCAAAGGATTTGGCCCTTTAACTGCACAACCGGGCTTATCTGCAGCTTGGGAGAAATTGATGGAGGGAGTGCAGGCTGCAAGACCCAGCCCCTTACTCCCAAAAGCCTCAACTCAGCCTACATACTACCAGGGAAGCCACCCTCCAGCACCCAAAATGTAGGAATCTGAAGAATGTGTATCTGTATGTCTGTCAGTGTGTATCTGTCAGTGTGTCTGTCTGTGTGTGCATCTGTATGTCTGTGTGTATCTGTATTTTTATACGTAATTTTATACCTTTACTTGGAAAGTGAGGTGCTAAAAACCTATCTACGGCCCGAAGAACGTTAGCCTATCTAATTTTGATCACTATCTACTGCCAATATGTGTAGGTGTGTATTAACTCCTTAAGAACCAAGCTTCAATTTTTGCATTTTTACTATGTATGTTTCCATTGATTTGAAGCTACGCCTCCTGGAAGTGTTCCTGTGTATCTGCAGACCGAGGTATCACTAGTGCCGGCAGCGGACCAGAGGGACTGTTTGTGCCGCGGCCACCCCTCCATCAAATTAGATTATTTTGAGTATGCCACTGACCATTTTACCGGGCGCTTGGAAGCACTTACATTGTTGCTCACTAGCGCCCGGTAGAACACAGGTCCGGCGGGTGGGAGCATAACAGGAAATGTGCAGAGAAAGGACATGATGGGCAGCCAGGTGCAGGCGATGAACAGCAATGAAGGTAAGGTATGTCAGAGAATGTGTGTTAGTCTGCTTCAGTCAGTAAGTTTATGTATGTCAGTCTGTATGGGTCAGTGTGTCTGTATGGGTCAGTGTGTGTCTGCATGGTTCAATGTGTGTGCCTGCATGGGCCAGTGTGTCTATATTTGATGCCTGCATGGGTCAGTGTGTCTGTCTGTATGTGTGTGTGTCTGCATGGGTCAGTGTGTGTGTCTGCATGGATCAGTGTATGTATATGAGTCTGTGTGCGTCCATCTACATAGATTAGTGCATGTGTGTCAGTTTGCATGGTCAGTGTGTGTCTACTTGAGCGATGGGGGCCTTATTGTTATTTATGGCCCCCACCTGCCGCTCAGGGGTGAGGTCCGCGCAGGAGGACAATAGGTACCTTCCCTTATTGTTATTTAGGGCCCCCACACACCGCTCACAGGTGGGGGCCTGCGGGGAGGACACTAGGTCCAACCCTTATTATAATTTAGGGCCCCCACCCGCCGCTCATGGGTTGGGGCCGGGGGGAGAGGACAATAGGCCCCCCGTACATTTTCAGATGCAGTTCCCAGGCTCTGTTAGGATGCCTTTACAAAATTACAATGGCACTTGACAGGGATGTCCCCTGTCCCCCTTTCTATTTGCCCTCTCGTTGGAACCTCTCCTATACCTTATCAGGGAGGATGACTCTATTCAAGATATGTCAATTCGGCAGGAAAGTTTTGAGTTGGCAGTGTACACTGATGATGTTTTGCTTTCTATAATTGACCCAGTCCAGTCACTACCACCATTGTTCTGCCTCCTGGATCGCCTCGGTACATTATCCATCTATAAAATGAATTGTTTGAAGTCGTGCTCAGTGCCCTTTCATGTGCTGGCACATGAGGTAGCACAGTTGCTCTCCAAATTTAGTTTGTCCTTTGGTTCCTCCTTTCATTATCTGGCGGTGAAAATTGGATCTTCCCATGCAACCCTATTTTCCAATAATTATATGCCCCTGACTGATTGATTGATGTGGTGGGACTGCCCTAAGTTGGATGGAGTCTGGAAGAGCATAGAGGATATTGCAGCTGCAGTCCTTCAGTGGCCAATTTACCTCTTCCCCTGGGTGTCTCTACTTTCACGAGCAACTAATGGTTTACCTAATGGCTCGTAGAGTGTTGGCAGCAAGTTGGCTTAAAACTGACCCACCCCCAATGAGAGACGTCATTTCTAAAGGTAGAGGTCAACTTTTTATGGGTGAACTGATTATAAAATCAGACGGTCCTCTTTTTTCTTCTCTAAAGTTTCGGACCTTTGGTGGATATATAGTTCGGATAGTAATTAGACAGACGAATACCTTCAGAGCCAAGGATCGCATGTTGCGGCACCTTTCTCCCCCCCTCCACTCATTCCTTTCACCTACCACCCCCTTCTTCACACCCCTATTTCCTTTTCTATGAGTTTCTACTTTACCGTTAAAAACTAAAAATGCTGGGGCGTGGCCGGACGTCGAACGGAGATGGCAGCACACTGAAAGAGCTCCGCAGTTCTGGGCTCTTATAAGCGGCTAAACACCCACAATCAAGCGGTCCCCTGGACCCCAGGCACTCCAACACGATGTCCCAACACCGGAATAAAAAGAATGCAGACCCCAAAGACAAAGCGGCTTTTTTCGCGGCCAGAACGCCGCAACACAAACATGCCGATACTCACATCCAAGATGGCGCCGAGTCTGATCCGGATGCCGATCACATGGGTGCACAGGAATACAGGACGGACACCCTGCTAACCACTCACCTACTGCAGAAAATGCTTGATGCAGCAGTCTCAAAAATGCAGGTAACCATTACCACTGCTCTTGCTGACATAAAGACAGATATAACTGCCATAGATGCAAGGACATCCCAATTGGAGGGGAGGATGGAGGTTATAAACTCTGCACACACTGAGATGGGCAACCGACTGAGTGACATGGAAAAAAGACTATCCCTACATGAGGCTAAGCTTACAGATGTAGAAGACAGGTCCCGCCGCCACAACATCAGACTGAGAGGAGTGCCGGAGGAGGTGGGAACGCAAGACCTAACGGCCTACACGGTGGAACTCTTCCGACATGTCTTACCAGACATACCAACGGACATGCTCCTGTTAGACCGAATACACCGAATCCCCAAACCGCAACACCTACCGTCTACCACCCCAAGAGATGTGCTCATGAAGCTCCATTACTTCCACGTCAAAGACCAGATACTAAGGGCTCATAGAGCGAAAAAAGATCTGCCAGACAAGTTCAAAGATATCCTTCTATTCACAGACCTCTCAGCAGACACGCTTCGACGCAGAAGATCCTTCAAATCAGTGGCTGAGGTACTAAGGCACCACAACATCCCCTACAGATGGGGATACCCAGCGAAACTCCTCATCACGAAAGGAGGAAAGCTCATCACGGCATCAACCCCAGCAGAAGGCCTAGATCTCCTGCACAAATGGGGCCTAGCCCAGAACCTACACCACGCAAGCTCAAGCACGGCACCAGGGGCTGACTGGCGCCCACAAAGGCAACGACGAGCGGCGCACAGAGAGGAAGATCGCTAACTTCCCAAGGACTAGCAAGTGTTATTTTGATTCTTATACTGCATTCTGTTAATATGTTAATTCAAATGTTGGTGATATCCCATACGGAGGTTTTAACCCACCCATACCCTGGGCATTAATCGCACTGCACTACCCTACTGCCGACAAACTAACTCTAAGGGCACAATAGAAAGACGCAGTGAACGTTCATGACTGGACCTGACAATTAGTGAGACCCAGTCAAACCCCCCTAGAGAATTTTACAAATGGATCCAGCAAGGGAGACGTAATGTGTGGGGCTACAAGTGACGTTCCACCTGGGTAACTACCCCCCCTAAAACGAATAGGCCCGCAGTGAGAGACAGCACCCGAACCAGGACACGGGACCTATCCTACCCGTAGCGCTGGGAAATAAGGCATGGAGGGGTCAAGACGGAGGGATTAGTGTGACTTACTGCCCTTACACAGCAGACAGGAGGCCCATCCCCTTCAAAATATAATGGGTATGCCCACATCAGCCCCTAAGGCACTTGTTGAGAACATAAAGAGTACCGTGATGTAATGCTTTGTGATATTTAACTGATGCATTAGGACTTTTATACATTAGAACTGGATGTGCATATGATAGAAATGACAATGCCGAGATGTACGTACTGATTGTACCCCTACATGACAAACGGGCACAATAGGGCCGCATAAACGCAATACCGCAACCCCAGGGCAAACAACAGGCCCGGCTGTGATGACCGCCAGCTCCCCCCTCCTGGAATATCCTCCCGAATGTTACCCGGGGAACCGATACATAAACCACCACGGATGGGTTCACTCCCCGCCCGCAACAACGCCCTACTCTGACCCAAGCTGAACACCACAGGGAAAAAAGCCCCGTAAACACACACCCAGTGGGACAGCCTACACACCAAGGGCCCAAAACAGCCATCAGCTGGATTCGACCCGACCACTTTACCCCCAAAGACGAAGTGCCATTCGTGGCACATACCCTTGAAAGTGACCATTGTAATATACTTTAGTTATTGTTCGACTCCCCTCCCTTGATTTCCACCACCTAACTACGGCACCCAGTTGGTGCCTTAACCCCCCCCCCTTAAATACCGGGACACTACGCGTCCACTGATAGTACCTGCCACACAAGACGGGACACAGTGAGACCACGACCACTCCTTTCCCACAAACATAAAGCCCCCCTAGCGGCAGCACCCACATACCAAGTATACACATATACTGACCACCACGTGGTGACCTGACACACGCAACACACATTAAGACTCCACACAAAAGGCCACTCTACTCCCACCGACCCTCCTAACCAGTCCACAATGAAAGTGTACACGCACAATGTAAGGGGACTTAACACGCCCCATAAAAGATATAACCTTCTCAAGGAAATTCGCAATTCACAAGCTGACATTATCTGCCTGCAGGAAACCCATTTCCGGCATGACTCTTCACCCATCTTAGGACTCAAACACTATCCTCACCAATACCATGCCACATCCCCATCCAAAAGCAGAGGAGTCTCGATCTTAATAAGCCACACACTGGCGTATGACCAAGTAACAGTCCAAGCCGACCCACAGGGCAGATATATCATCCTCATATGCACGCTAAACAACGTTACATATACACTAGCTAACGCATACTTTCCAAATGACTGTCAACCCCGTTACATGTCCACACTATTGGACAAAATAGAACAAATACGCACTGGAACCCTGATCCTATGCGGAGATTTCAACCACATCCTGGACCCACAAGCAGACTCGACGGCGAGTCACACATCCAAAAGAAATAAACTCCTGCACAAGCAATGCACCGTCCTAAACAAAACACTAGCCTCACACGGATTATACGACATATGGAGAACTCTCCACCCGACCTCTAGGGAATACACCCACCACTCACAAGTACACAACACATACTCCCGCATAGATGGATACCTAATGCACAGCGCACACCTTCACCAGATCGACACCTGTGAGATAAGCACCTCAACTGTCTCGGACCACAACCCGGTGCTACTCACCCTCATAGACCTATACCAATACAAACATCGCAGCCCTTGGAGACTGAACGAACTCCTGCTTAATGACCCTGAATTCACGAACAAACTCCGCCACGAAATCCGACAGTACTTCATGACCAACGATATCACAGGAACAAACCCAGCTGCGCTATGGCTGGCGCACAAAACGGTCATCCGAGGACTTCTCCTCAGCAGAGCATCCTACCTCAAGAAATCGTCCCACACGCACCTGCTCAACCTCCTGAAACAAGTCCAAGACCTCCATAGAGAGAATCAAGAGAATCCCTCTCGAAATCTCCAACTGAAAATACAGGCGGTACAGGAAGAAATTAAAAAAATCCATCTCAGGAAAGCCAGTATCGCACTGAAAAAACTCAAGGCTACTTCCTACTCCATGGGAAACAAGGCAACAAAAACATTGGCTCAAAGACTGCGAGTAAAACAAGCTCAGACACGAATTCCATACCTCAACACACACTCAGGGCACAAAGTTATGCAACCAACGCAGATTTGTAACGAATTTGCACATTACTACACCACACTATACAACTTAAGAGACCAAGAAAACCAGACCCAACCCACCCCTTCCTCCATACGCACATACTTAGCAAAACTAAACCTTCCCAAACTCCTAGCGCATCAAGCAGATGACCTATGCGCCCCTATCACCACTGACGAAGTACTCTGCCAGGTAGACAAAATGCCAAAAGGGAAGGCACCAGGCCCAGATGGCTATACCAACATGTACTACACCACCTTCAAACACGAACTGATCACAGCCCTCACTAGCTTCTACAATGAGGCCACCAGACGTGGATCTTTCCCAAAGGAATTCTTATCAGCTCATGTTATCACCATCCCCAAAGCGGGTAAACCCCCCACTACAAGCCAAAATTTCAGACCAATTTCCCTCTTAAATGCTGACGCAAAACTATATGCTAAAATATATGCAGAACGTCTCAAAACAATCCTACCGACACTAATCCACACGGACCAGGTGGGGTTCGTGACAGGCAGACAGGGGCCGGACAACACCAGGAAGGTGTTGAACCTATACAAAATACTAAAGCATACCAAACAACCAAGTGTCCTACTATCTCTTGACGCCGAAAAGGCATTCGACCGACTAAACTGGCACTTCCTCCATGAAACCCTACAAGCTTACGGACTTCCAGCCCCCTTCCTATCTGCAGTCAACGCACTATACAGCACACCCACGGCAACAGTGCTGAATTCCGGGTTCTGCTCAAGAACTTTCCCAATAACAAATGGGACCCGACAAGGGTGCCCCTTATCCCCTCTCCTCTACGTGCTGGCCTTGGAACCCTTGGCTATAGCAATTCGCAGCAATGTCAGTATCCATGGGGTACCGACGGGCAACACAGAATATAAACTCAGCTTATTTGCCGATGACATCTTTCTCACGCTCACGCAACCGCTCATATCACTCCCATCCCTACACACGGAACTCCAGGCTTACAGCCAACAGTCTTACTACAAACTCAATGTCACCAAAACGCAAGCAATGTGCCTTAACATCCCAAAACCCACAGAAGACGCACTTAAAGCAAACCACCACTTCGACTGGAGAGAAGATTTCCTAGTGTACCTAGGCATCAAAATAACGCGCAAAGAAAAAGAACTCTTCCCGGCAAACTACTTAAAACTATTAAAAGACATTGACAACCAATTAAAAACATGGAGAAGCCTGTTCCTGTCCTGGGTAGGGAGAATAGCAGCGCTGAAAATGACGATTCTACCTAAAATACTCTACCTTTTAAGATCTCTGCAAATCCCAATCCCGCAAAGCTACGTAACAAAACTACAAGCGACACTACTACGCTTCAGTTGGGGAGGCAAACACCCTCGACTCCCCAAATCGCTTCTAATGAGAAACGTGCAATCCGGAGGACTGGGCCTACCCAACATTAAAGAGTACTACCGATCCTCCATCCTCACAAACGTCATTTACGCCCACTCGACCAGCTATACCCCTCAATGGGTAACAATAGAGAGCAACCACTGCGGAAATCAAGACCTCCCGACACTGCTCTGGATGCCTCAACATCTACGGCACATACCTACGACTACCCTAGACACCTCCAGACACTTGCTCAAGATCTGGGATGCCTGCAGGGAGAATTTGTGCTCAGCACACCCGTGGACCCTGGCAACCCCGATCCAAATCCTGCACCAGTGCAACGGAACATTCCCATACCAAAAATGGAGTAGCGCAGGTATCACTCATATCTACCATCTATACACGAAAGACAGGCTGAAAACATTCCCAGACCTACAAAAAGAATTCCTACTACCTTCCAGCTTCACGTTCGCATATCTCCAAATCAAAGCGCACCTACGCAACAACAAGATCACAAACATCCAAAACTCCCTGCAAACCTCTATTACGAAATTCGAAGCACAATGCTTGACGCGGATTCCCCCCAAAAAAGCAGTCTCCCTTTGCTACAACAACCTCGCTAACAGAGATATACACACCACATGGAAGTTCATGCAAGATTGGCAGAATGACCTCCAAATCATCATCACACCAGCCGAATGGGATAAGATTTTCACCTCCCATACAGGACTGACATCAAGCGCAGCACACCTCGAAGCATCCAGGAAACTCCTATACAGATGGTATATGGTCCCAACCCGACTCCACACCATATTCCCAAACTCCTCAGACCAATGCTGGCGCTGCCACGCTGCGAGAGGCACCATGCTGCACATGTGGTGGACGTGCAAGCAGGTGAATCAACTGTGGAAAGAAACAGCCAAACTAATCAAACGAGTCACGAAACACCAACTACCCCTCGACCCCAAAACGATCCTACTACGCTCGTTACAGGGAAACATCCCGAAGCCGATCCGAAAAATTATATACCTCATCCTAAGTACAGTATCCATACTAATAGCCAGAAACTGGAAAACAACTACGCTGCCCTCGCTCCAAGACATAGAAAAAGTAATGACCTCAACAGTAGAACATGAACTAATAATGTGGAATCAGTCGAAAATTGGGAAACTCAGCCCCCACACTGCCACAATGTGGGAGGACTACCTACGACGAACAGACACAAGGCTGACCTGAGCCCCAACACCCATGAAAATGACAAAATCTCCCGAACCAGGCTTACTCTCAGCCGGAGAACACAACCACCCAGCACCCAAACACCCAAGAAGGCACCACACAAAGCTTCAAACATATTGTTGTTACAGTCACTACACTACACAGGATGGCCCCCGCTAGGTACTCCAACCAACATCCCCTGCCCTACTCCACCCACCCAATCTCCCCCCCCTTCCTGGCCCCCCCACTACCTACCCCAAGCAATCACACTTAAGAAAACAACCCTCAACCCCTAACGCTTGCGAAAGCCTCTGCAACCTATAGGCAAAGCCGGGGAAACGCAGACAACTCCAACTTACCCACTATCGCGCACGCGATCAACACTCGCATTGCGGAGCACGCCTACCATAATGTATACCCCACGAAAGACCACAGGGTTGATATTGGCATAGATACACGACGACATTGTCATAGATACATGACGACACTGTATAAGTTGAGCAATCAGCAACACCCCCTCGACCTGCTGACATACCCCCCGCTTACACATGAAGCTACCAAGAT